ATCAAAGGAGCACACACGTCTCATTGTATTCACTTCATTAGTTTAAATACAAAGATTGAAATTCTGGCTTAAAAGCTACTTACGTTCTTCCCCCTCGGGGGCCCCGCATGATGAACGCCGTCACCCGCCCCCCACACCCGCCCCGGGACGGCTGAACAAACTGCTCAGGTCGTCCTGCGGGGACCTAAAAAACGGGGATTCGCGAGCCGTTCGGCCTCGAGCGCCACAAGGCCCGACCGCTGGGAATCATGCGTGTTAAAAACAATTTGTGACATGTTGACACGCAAGAGGGGACACAAATCACACATGCCACTGAGGGAGTCTGTGTGTGTCTGTTTTAGAGGAAATATTCAGACATACTTATGTGCTTCGGAGTTAATAGGAAAGTATGCAGTCATTCTCGCGTGCCCTGTGTGTGTGTGTGTGTGTGTGTGTGTGTGTGTGTGTGTGTGTTGCGGCATACATGTCTGATGTATGTCTTTGTCCTTGTGTTCCACTGTGTGTGTATGTGTGTGTGTGCGGTCATCAGACCAGCCAGGCACCAGTCCCAGACAGCGAGGTCAGAGTCATTCACTAATCATATTAACATTCCTTCATAATGACCCAATGCATAACTCCACTCCCCCCCCCCCCCCCTCCCCCTTTTCAGTCCTTCTTCTTCCTCCCTTCATCCATCTGCGTCACTCGTGCTTTCCACTTCAGCCCCTCCATTCCTCGGCTATATTCCCTCCTTGAGCTCGTCTCCCGTCATCACCTCATTCCCCTGCTTTGTCTCGGCCATCTGTGGCCCTCAGCGCTGCTCTCACTGTGCCGCTCCTGTATTTTTCCCATTATAATGATTATAATTTAGTGTCATGTAGCTTATTTCTGTTTTTGCAATGTTAATAATAATGTTGTCAAAGTAATTATCTTGATTTAAAATTTAGTTTAGATTATTTGATTTGATAGTTTTTTTCTAAACTGGCCCATGATCATCTTTCTCAGGCTTTTAGCCACCTTGACGTATTGTGTTATTATTCATGTTGCTTTATCGAATGTTCTTTTTGAACATGAAAATGAATCAAATCGAGAACTTCATTTGGAGAACATGACCGGACCACGACGCAGTTTATTTTGTACATTCTGACTTCAACTAACCAGGGAGCACAAGTTGGTGTTTGTTCACTTAAGGGGTTTATTTTTTATGACAGTGTTTGTGTCCGTGTAACACTGATGCAAAATGGTTTGTATGAATTCTGATTAAATTATTAAATTACTTTGGTACTGATATTACGTTGACAAAATAATTGTTCAACAAAAACATTTTTCAGCTTCTCCGATTTGCTGCTGATTTCTTTGACACAAAGCTGGAACTCTTTGGGATTTCTAGCAGTTAATCACACAAAATAGCACATTTGGATGTGATGAGCTCATTGAAGAGATTATCTCTTTTAAGCGATTTTAATAAATGAATTAATTTAAATTGGTCATCAGTTGAAGCCTTATTCCTGGAAGTTATTGAACACGTTTAATTGAAATAAACATGGTTAAAAAGTAAGGAAGTATAAAGAAAAAACACTTCTTTCCGTGTGTACTGTGTGTGCATTTCCATTCAGAGCCTTTTTTCCAACAGTCTTAACATTTTTCCCCAAAAGATAACCATCTATTTCTGGTCCTAAAAAGAGCAGCATAGCTGCGGTTAGATTTTGAATTCTTTCGGTGAGAGAAGAAGAACATCGCGGACTGTTAGATGTGAGCTCCAAGCTTTTCTGGGTCTAATGTTTGTAAAGAACCGCTGCACTTGCATCAGGGCGGTGAGACAGACGTGTGCTCGCTGTAGGCCGTGCTGCTGTTGATTTAGCTATTTATACAAGCTTGGATGTTGTGTGTGTGTGTGTGTGTGTGTGTGTGGGGGGGGGGGGGGCTCTATCAGCAGCACGTTTAAATTCACTCTTCTCCATCCAAACTAAATGGAGGCTGTGTGACTTGGTTTCGACTGTTCTACAGTGGCTCTAGCTGCTTTTAAATGAGCCTGAAGTTAGCTACTGACCACATACACACACACACACACACACACACACACATAATGACCCCCCCCCCCCCCTCCCCCCGTCTGCGAGCCTTCTTCGCAGGGTTTTGAGTATTCTTCAAACTGAAATCCCTTTTGAGGTTTTACTGCATTTTCTCGGTTGCCACGTGTGCCATTACACACACACACACACACACACACACACACACACACACACACACACACACACTTACCAGGTCAGTCAGTGTGAATGATTTAATCGTTAATGGCTCCAAATCCTTGACAATGAGCCAGTCCTTAATTGCTCCAGTCAGTCATAACCACCGAACCTTGCTGAAGATGACCTCATGACTCAGTATGCGTGTGTGTGTGTGTGTGTGTGTGTGTGTGTGAGTTCCGCTCAATGGTGCAGTGGTCCAGAGGGACAGGAAAAAAAAGACAGAAAGCGAATGAAGGGGAGACAGAGGAAGAATAAATGTCTCAGCATATTGACTGGGACCCTGAGAGGACGTATATCATATCTGTAGCGTGTGTCACTGTGCGTCTCCGCCGCTCCCAGTAGACGCGGCGATGTGTCTGGGTCCACTGAGTCGGCACTGATCCCATCTTGTCTGACTTGGGGATTACAACCTCATGACCTGCTGCTGGCCGCACTTCAAATCCATCAACACACACACACACACACACACACACAGACGGAGAGCAGGGCAGGGCATCGATGAAACATGGAGGTAAGGAAAGGGAGTGAATGCAATAATAACAGACAAGGGAGGCTGTTCAGACGGTATTCACAGTAAATCAGTTCTTCTACGCAACGCAGAAGCTTTCCACTCAAAGTAACTTTACACACGTACAGCCTTTCCCACCAGAAAAGAATATCTGCCGTTGAATTGCTTTGCATTTCCTCCCTCCCTTCTGGGCTCCCGCGCCGTGCCCCCTCCCGCTCTCTCCGCCTCGCAGTGGTTCAGCCGGAGCCCAGTTTCCTCTCCGTTTCATTAGATTCAGCACATTCGGAGCGGCCCAACGCTCGACTTGTCCTTATAAGGAGTGAGAATCAGAGTTGGGCTGAAGCCCCGGGATGGACGCGGAAAACACACATCGTCGTGACCGCGTATTTGTCTGCGGATGCGATCGAGTGTTTGCGTGCAAATGCGCCACGTATGACCCTTTGACCAGCGGCGTCGAAGTCGTTCACACCTCTGCTCAAAAGCCAGCGTGTCATCAGCTCTCAGTCCAGTCAGCCACTCTTCTATCGAAGCACGTTGCCCACTTTCTGGAATAATGCTGATTTTTCAGATGATACATTTTTCTGCTGGCGTCTCCACAGATGCCAAAACACTAAACTCCATCCAATTTGAGAAATGGGTAAAATTTGCGGCGTGATTGAATTCTTAGTCGAACCTGTCAGCAGAGTTAATACATTTCTGCAGGACCGCTTGGCGAAAGGAAAGTCTTCAGCGGCGAAAAGTCGTTCTCGGGCAATCGAGCCGCAAGTTAAATGGAAGTTTATTCCACCGACGCTGCATTCAGGGAGAGAGAGAAAAGAGGACACACTGTGCGCTCCGAGCAATGGGTTCTAACAGCAATACGGTGTTTTTGCCATCACAAACCTGTGGTCTAGAGACCTGTGGTTGAACTTGGCATGTGTGTGTGTGTGTGTGTGTGTGTGTGTGTGTTTAAAGCATGTCTCACCGTGCTGATGGCCCAGGCTGTTTGTATTTTAATGTTTGAACCGTTTTGTATACAAGCATGATTTAGTGTGTGTCTGCATGTGTGTGTGTGTAAATACTAAATGAGTATCTCCCTTTAATCATCTGGTTTTAAATGCAGTGCGGGTGACGTGGTACAATATGTTTCAGTGACTTTATGGCTTTAATAAGGGACAAATATGGCCTTAATGGCAGCGCGCGCGCATTTAAAAACAAACTCAAAGCAAACTTTTTCTCCTCTCTCTCCATATATCAGATTCTGCTTTCCTCATTACACTCATGTGTGTGATGAGCATCTGGTTTTTCTCCCCCCCCCCCCCACCCGTCCTCCCCTCGGTCTATGCGCTTGAACTCTGTGACTGGAGGATAAAGTACGTGTAGATAGATGGACCTGCAACCCCAAACAACGACGGCATTTTATTCCCCAATGCCATATCTAATAGAGAAATAATGATGGCCGCCCTTATTGGAGAGCGAGGAACGGGGAGGTTTTCATTCAGGGAGAATGAACGCTGAAAGAACCCCGACCGCGAGAGCGAGTGGGTTTAGTGGGAGTGTGCAGAGCACAAACAGCTCTCTTAACCCTGTCGGTGGTAACAAAGAGACACACTCGGCTACAAGGTCTGCTGCTGTCCCTCTCTACGTACAGAGAGGCTCCCATTCCCCGCCTGTCCCACCCAAGGTAGCCGCGCTATTTCTACTTAATAATGGCTGGCATCCTGTGAGCGCTTTAGAGGTCACGAAGGAAACGTGTGTGTGTGTGTGTTAGGCGAGAGGGTTTTGTTGTCCATAATTTGACAAACACAAAGTAGCCTCATGATAGAGCTGTGTACTGTGTGGTTTCATCCAAACAGGACATGTCGCAGGACTTATTATTGGATTATGTGCACTAGGAAACAGTCCGATCGCATAAAGGGTCCTTGTCAGTCTTAATGAAACGTGCATGAATCAGATCCCAGTCTCTAGGTAGCATGACGGCCTTTCACTCGGCATTTAACTTCTTCAGATCTTTGGCCCAAATCAGCACACACTTGGAAAACAGTCTCGGTGCTGCGACATTGCCTGTCTTATTTCGCTTCCACAGGCGAGAAAAACTGTGTTCATTGTTAGTCACGGGTCACCGCGGGTGATACACATGACTAACGTAACCACGCACACACAAATTCTGGCACTTAATCGTGTTATCGTGGTGAAAAGGAGCTCTGTCCTCTGCCCAGGTCAACGGTGTGTCAGTGAGCCACAACTCGTGACCCTTTTTAAAATCACGAACCGCGTCGAGATGACCAGAAGGTGAGGACGACCACGTCGCTGGAGCTCGGAGCTGGAGTCCTTAACAAACACCGACGACCGCATGTTGTGGATGTGACAGCGAGGAAGGGGAAGACATTTCACAGAGGTGCGTTTAAAATGGTCAAAAGAAGAAATAAGAAAGGTTATGTGAATCACGTGGTGGGATTTTCCCCAAATCCTATTGTGAATCAGACAATGGTCGGCCTGTCTCTGGGTGGTAACAGCAACAAGGTTAGAGAGAATATTGGACCCGGTTCAGAGCACTGAAACCTTGAACCAAAAGACAAAGAGAAGCTCCAGAAACACACACACACACACACAAGCAGACTGAAAGAATAGACGCACAAACACGAAGGCCCAGCGGTCTGCATACAGAACAGGACCGGACACGGGTCTGACAGTGCAGGGGATTCAGGCCCGATCAACAGGATATGATCCAAGATCCTTTTCAACCGGGCTTCAGCAACCTCCGGAGGCGGCACCGATTTTATGTCCGGGAGCATTTTTTTCTTATCTTTACTGCCAATAACAAGCAAATTGAATTCATTCCAGATGCTCCTCTTGAGGCGTTGAAGGCAAAGGCGACCTCTGCCTTTAAATGTTGCCCGGCCGTGTTTATATTCAGAGGAAGGCAAAGAGAAAGCTGCTACTCTGTCCACATATTAAAAAAAAAAAACTACGGTTGGATCAAATAAAAGTCAACGCGCAGCAGCACCGCCTCGGTCCGCTCTAAATCAGAGGCTTTTGATGACATCACATTTCGCCTCATACGACACAACGCCATTAGTGACGACTGCATGCAAACCAACGGGCCCATTTCAGCCCGGAGTACGGGACGAATAAAAGCTTTTCATTCATTTAATCCCATAATAAAAGCTGTGTCACACCGCCCACTGCAACAATCGGCTTCCAGACCCTCACGGTGGGATCGTGCACGATGTTGTGTGTGTGTGTGTGTGTGTGTGTTACAACAGCGCCTTGCTGATTTATTCCCCCTCTCCTTGGGCACAAAGTCTGTTGTTGTCCACCCACCCACCAGCACACGGTGCACGAGGAAACAACCGTTTGCTGCGGCTTTTGCGGTTGGATAATTGTTTTTAGGCATAACATCATTCTGCTTGCAAAAGACGGCGAAGCCATAACCACGAGTCAAGGAGAGGGGTGCTGGAGGTACGGAGGGGAAGGACACTCGGGATAGTGTGGAAACAGCATGAGGCGCTCCCTCCCTCCCTCTCTAGACCCGCAGCGAGTCGCCACCGTTTTTACTTTCCATGGTCATTCAGCCGATCCTAAAGAAAAAACAAAAACAGGTCTGAAGGAGAAACAAGCCCACCAATGGGAGAGGGAGATTGGATACGTTTGCTGCTGCCTCACTTTCCATAACCTTTAATTCTCCCTCCACGCGCTTCCCACGGAAAGCCAGTCAGGTGAGTGATCACCTCTGCTTTAATTAATAAATGCATCATCCTTAATGAGAGGGGCTTGTTATGCACTGTGGCAACCGCTACTGGTCTTATTTATGTTTCAAACTTCAGACTTAATTCCCCCCTCTGAAGTGCGCTAATTGCTTTCCCTCTCAGCCTCGTGGACGGCGGCGGCGGCGGCGCTCTCTCGTGGGGAGGCGCCGGGCGGTGTAACGTGTGGCTATCGATCGGCAGGGAACAGGAGAAGGCGCCCGGCTGCTCTGCAACCAAAGGAACATCAGATCCATATTGAAGTGGTGGAGGGATGACTTTGCGTACAAACACTGTGAGGTGACTGAAGCTCAAGACCCGACTCGCTCAATGCTGATTTCGGTATTTTGTTACATAAACCACATCAGAGCGGGACAGAATGACCTCAAAATCAACCTTTTCTCATTTTGATGAATCGGAAAATTGCTTCTCGGTTGATTGTTTGGTCCATAAAATGTCAGAAAATTGTCACAATATGATGGAAACACAACGCTGTGTCTTCAGTCAAATAAAGTGCCAAGCTCAATCATTTTTTTCTTTCCATGACACACGTGCTACAGGAATGTTGATGATGATTTCTTTTTAAATCGCTGACTACTTTGTCTGTAATTCACTTCTAAAGTGGAAGAAATTGTTTAATATCAATTTAATATCACATATTTTATTCCGTTGAGCTTCAGTTGCCATTTAACTTTTTAATACCAATTTAAGTGCATAAAAAAAAGACAATTTTAAAAGGTACCAAAGAAGTATTTAGGGGTGTCACTATCCCAGGAATTTAGTAGTTGATGCCAAATTTATGTTTCTTAACGGAAAATTTGATCAAAAGAATGTAGCGAATGAACAATAATTATAATGTACTTTTTTTTAGAATGTATTACTTATCTGGTTCGTCGTCAACATAAGATGAGATGTGAACAAATCAAATCATGATAACTCAATCGGGCCTCCGTGTGTCAGCTGTTAGCTCATTTGTTTAGCCACTCAGGACTGCTAGCAGCTTACGTTACTTACGCACAACGTAGCTTTGTCGGGGATTACCGTCTCGAGTCCTGATCCGTGGATGAGTTTTGTCTTCAATTTGAAACCAAAGTATGTGCTCTCCAGACAAAACTACGTTAAACAGGTCTTCATTTCACTACGCTTAAATTCAGCAGTTTTTATCGCGCTGGGAAGACGTCGCGCTGCAACCGACATCACATTAAACCGGTTCTGTCCTCTTTAAAAGACCCGGCACCAGGCGACATTATTGAACTGTTAAATCGAGACCACGGCTGACCGAGCCTAGTCCTTTAGGTCCTCTATGCAATGACAAGCCCGAGGAGATCCTACTTGCTACTTAGCATTTCCTGATGCGGTTGGACAGTGTCCTGGTACAGAGACCTTGGTCATAGCAGATTGATTTAAGCTGTGAAGACTCATTTGGGTTTACTCGGGGTGATTTTATTTTTCCCTTAAAGAGCCGCGGAAGCTTAATTTTTAGCGTAACTAGAAGAGGCCAGGTGAAATTCACAAGGCACCGGGGTTTACAGGAAGGCAGTGGGTTTGGTAGTAAGCCAGAAAGGGGGCGGAACGTCCCCCGACGAAAGCTTTACTGCGTCCCCGAGGCGGGACTGATTCTAATCTGTTTTTATTAAGTGGAAGGCTTCTGAAAGGGAAAAACCATAAAGTTGTTCTTTGTCCAAACAAGTAGCCTGGAGTCACCCGCACTAATGTGTATACCTTAGAAAGATTTCATATTCCATATCAAAAACCATTCGTAAATATTCTGCGTTTCCATGACGTCCACTCCGAGATCCAGAGAGCTCCTCTGCCCGTGTTTATATGGAAAATGACAGATGGAAGTTTTGTTTAAGTAAACTGCCTTAAAAAAAAAAAAAGTCAACAGTGCTACAAATGCTTTGGCAGAGACACTTAGTAGCTCGCCCGAGGCTAAGCTGCTAGCATTCAACAGGTCCCGTCTGGACTTTAAGGTTTCAAGGAAACGCACCCTGCGGTCTGCTGGACATCTACAAACAGCCACAGACGTTACGGCAAAACTCCGCCAGCGTGACAACCATCAAACACGAAGTCTGACGCCCAGGAACAGATTCCACAACAGTGGAGGCCACATTTGCTCAGCAACAGACTGCTAACAAAGTCATCGCCGGCTGACACCTGGCACGAGTGTGGGCGGCGATTTCTGCTCAGCGCGTTGACAATGCACCTGTTGCTGCAGACGTTCTTCATCAGCGTCTCGTCTCGCCAGCAGGATTCATCCGGCCCCCGAGCGCCGATTACCACCCTGCGATTGGAAAACCGCTACCTGCGCAGGAGGACAAGTGTTTCCCGCCTCTACTTATCCTCCTCGCCACGCGTGTCATCAGCGTCAGCCCGACGTCGGAGAGACACGGGGACTTCGAATCGAGAGAAGGACACTTCATCACTGACAAGCAGATGACGGACAGGCTGATGAAAGGCTGAACTAATGGAGAGGCAGACAGATTTGGGGATTATGAGGCCCTTTCTGTGCGGCCTCACTTTTGAGCGGGTTGGACCACGCGTGTGTGTGTGTGTGTGTGTGTGTGTGTGTGTGTCTGAACTCCTCACCCTTGGTGCTTCGTTTTCATGTCCTCTGCGGCGTAGATCCAGTTCCTCATAAGGCGGCACCGCTCCTTCTCTCCTCGCCTGCTGGTATTCTCTTCGTAGCTGCTGGATCCGGTCCACACTGCCACACACGAGCACAGACACGGCCGGGTTAAATGAGCTCTGACACCTCTTAAGGTCTTTACACACCGGGGGAGGGGGGGAAAATGGGGGAGTGGGGGGGCCCTGCATGTGAAAATCTTTTATTGTGGAGGGCTAATAAAGTTTGAGCCTCTGTGTTGTAGTTTCATGAACAAAAAGCAACTCAAGCCGCTCTGCAGAATACGATTGGTCGACGACTTTATTCGCTGTGCTTCGAAAAAAAAGAATAACCTTTTTTTGGGTGAAATTAAAAACAACAGTGCAAAAATATCAACGTGCAAATGAATCGCGAGCGCTCACACACACACACACACACACACACACACACACACACACACACACACACACAGGAGCACTTGATCATTCTGGCTGCCTTCATCCATATCTGTTTATCCATTTTCTGGCTATTTTTTTTTTCTCTTGCAAAAGGCAAGAAAACAAAAATATCAATCACATGAATATTCCTTCTTCCTACTACAGCTCCGACCCCTGGGCACCGCCGCGAGTCACGCACAAACATAACCGCACACCCACACATAATGGAAATGTGGAAAGCCACGTCGTACAGTTATTCAACGTTACAGCCGCAGCGTGCGCAATCATGAGCCGAGTCGACGGAAGGAGGAAAAACGGTTGATTGATGCTCCACCGGGCGATTTATGGGAAGTCGGGAGAAATGGCGTCACACCTTCCCGACCCCGAGCCGGTGTGTGTGAACAACACTCACGACGCACTGCTCATGTGACCCGTACCCTCGTTCGTGGGTATTTATTTCGGTTGAACTGGAAATCCGCAGTACATACATACAACGCCGGACCATCCGTCATCGGCCTCAAGTACAGAGGGGTGCATATCATCACATGTAGTGCTGTTAGAACTACAACAGAGAGCCTGATGTATTAGCGTGCAGCAGTTGGAAGGTAATAATTCATACAAAATGCAAAACCCTCATTGACAAACAAAAAATGCCTTTGAAATCTTTGCCTTTGAAATAATATTCATTTTAACATATTATTTTAAGAAATAAATCTTTCAGAACAAAAGTCTTAAGTAAAACAGTTGCATTCTTTTCTTCAGCCATTCTCTCATTTTCCTCTCGAGCACCTAGTGAGCTGCTGCTGAATCCGCCGTCCGTCCTGCATCATGTTGCAGTGATGTTGCTGCGGTTCACGATGTGGAAAGGAAACAGCTGATGGTGTCTTTGCTGGTGCTGGGCGGGACTTCAGAGCCGCCGTTTAGTCACTTCGTGAAAGGAAGTCGGATGGAAATAAACACTCACATTCACAGGAAATCAATTAATTTCCCTCTTCTTCCCTTTCCTGTCGCCCTCGCCTTCTGACGCGCCCCTTTGTGATACAGGATACACGATACACGTCGTTTGGAAGTCCAAACGCGTGAAGGGTGAAGCGTAAATCCTCATTGAACAGAGTGCGTCTCTGTGTTTTCTACTGAATCCTTTTCTCTTTTTTTAGGGACCCCGCACACACTTTGGATGAATTTGAAATTGTGGTGAGGAATAAAACTAAGTGGTTTGATTGGATATAAAGTCAGTGGAGAGGATTAAAAAAGGTAAAATGTTCTCTATTGTTTCCATTGTTCTGTGCTTTTTATGCATCGCAGCAGGAATGAATTGTGTCACGCCTCAAACGCATAAATACTTTTACACACACACACACACACACACACACACACACACACACACACACACACACACACACACACACACACACACACACACACACACACACCTCATACTATTGAATTGACACAGTGCCCCGGGAGAACAGGGTGGTAAAATTCAACTTTCATATTCTGTCCACGGACAACATGCGGGCGAATCACACACACGGACGCACACACTCTCACACTCACACAAAGGGCACTTTATTGGATTTATGACCCGGCATAAAAGAGGGCGGGCCCAAGAATAGATAAATATGATAAACTAAGACATAATACTACAAGCACCCACACATTTATGGGAATAGTTGCATGACCACAGACGAAGGAAGATATTGATTAGAGAGACAAGTAAGCCATAAAAACGCAGACTCGTATGACTTCACTTTTTAACGACCTTGTGGCCATCAAACAGCAATAGAGGTGGCTCATGCGGTAATAGCCTGCTAGCATTGTTCTGTGTGTGTTACAGTACATCATGACCTAAGAGCAAAAATGTGCAAGTGTAATACCTTCCATCATCCTAAAGTACTTAGATCTCTCATCAAGAATAATTATAACATTCATTTTGGAATATTAAAGAGTTTTATATTGAGGCCAAAAGTAATGTTGTGTATAAAGATGGTATGTTTCAAAATAACAGCATAGGAGGCCAGAGCTTTAGTTCACTCCTCACCATCTTTCTCTCTCACGCGCGCACGCAGAGGAAGATCAATCTCCTGCTCCAGCTCTGCCACACCAATAATAATTCTATAAATGTTTAAAATCAGAATCAGAAACCCGACAGAGCTGTTAACAATGCCGCTATTAATAATTGAGACGTCTGTTCCATTAATAACATGGTAAGGTACGCTGTGAAATATATCAATGTCCAGAGCAAAGCAATATGCGCTCGCCATTAGAGCCTGTAAATATTTACTAGCCTGGTTTTAAAAACGGTGCAGGAGTAAAAGCTTTGAAATTTAGTTTGTGGTTTGCTGTTAATCGAGACACCACAGCTAAAGCCAGAAGAAATAAGACATGTGACCAAAGGTCAAACAGCTTTAACATTCATTTTCAATGCCAAATCAATCAAATCCTGCACAAACAGTGTCCATTCAGAGATTAAAACAAATAAGTTGAAATTCTTTATTTATTTACACTCCAATGGCCACGTTACCTGTGAATACCTGGGAAGGGGATGATCAGCAGCTTCTCTTTAAGCTTAACCACATCAGTAATTCAAATAGGCCCGATGTGGTGGTGAATCCATTACCAGCACCCAACCGGATATCTAAAGGACAATCTACCCGGAGATCCATTTGTATTTCCTGTATTATCCTCATATCAGGAGAAAATGTCAGGAAGACGGAGCCAGTAGGCGACGGGCGAGACAAAGAAGGAGAGAAAGGACGGGTCTTAGTGCGCTCTAACAGACGGCTGTGAAAGGTTCCATAAATCTGACACAAAATGGCTCACACACACACACACACACACACACACACACACACACACACACACACACACAGGTGATGTATGGTCTCCTTTTAGATGTGGCACAGGGGGAATGTCATTCAGACCCTCAGGCTCAGTCTGATTTATCACATGTCTAAATGTGCGCGTGTGTGTGTGTGTGTGTGTCTTAGCATGTGTGTAGAAAAACAAGAAACTAGTGAGACTCTATTGACATCTCTTACCGTAGATGGATAGAGTGCTACATTTCAGTATTGGGGGGCGGGGGGGGTTGTACTCTTATTTTCCCAATATCACAAAGTACATGTGAGAGAGACTTGGAAGGAACAAAGACAGCAGGAGGATAGAAAACAACTGGAGCTAATGAGAAAAAAAGTGCAGTAAGATTTCCTTTCATTAGCTCAAACACAAAGTCATGACGGCCATTTGGAAAAGTCAATAAAGACCCGAAAAAAACATAAGCTGCCATTGATTTAAAAAAGCCAAAGAGACGGTGCACGCTTCAGATGAGTGGAAAAGAGGACATGTGCATCCTGCTGGTGCTGATCAATGCAGCAAACAATAACTGCTGCTTTGGAAATGTCAAAGTTAAAGATGACGGTCCTGTGCAACAGTAAAATGCACATTGACGCCACGTGAGATGAAATGAGACAGCACCCACCGACGGGCAGAACCTGGAAACCCTTTTAACCAACACTGAGGATCCCGAGAACTCATTTAAATGAAGCTCCATCCTTTCATTCAATCAGATACAACTTGATGATCACAGACGGAATTAGACCCATTTGAACCCACGCACGGACAGTCCAACGTTAAAGCCCCGAGCTCGTGGCCTCCGACCTGTTCCACGCGCGTGAGCCGGCCTGCGTCCCGTCACCCCCTCGGGCCCCGCTGTCAGAGAGAGGATCGTTATCCGTCATGTCGGGCCAATGATCCTCCCTCTCGCTTCCTCGCATTTGACACGGGATCCCTAAGTAACAAGAACGGGCCGATCGATGCGACTCGCTGTCCGTCACGTGTTGCCACGGAGTCTTTTTTGATGGCGCATGTTAGATTTATATTGCTGTGCTGCGTACTGTAACTCTCCATACATCCTTTTTCCCCCGCTCCCCCCCCCCGTTCAAACCCTTCACAATCTATGCAGGTAATCATCGCCGCCGTCACCTCTCCCCTCCCACTCCGTCTTAATCTCTCCATCACCTGCCCGTCTCCCCCGTCCCGGCCTTCCCGTCAGCCCTCCCCCGCCTCGCTCCTCATCGCCCCCTTCCTCCTAATCTCCCAAACGGTGCGCTGGGCTCTAATTAGCCGCCGTCTCCGCTAATGAAGTCTGACGACAAAAGATCACCGCCGTTGGCAGGTGGGTCGACGCGGGAGGGAAAGAAAGGGCCGACTGTTTATGTGCATGCGGAGCGCGTGTGCCGCCGGGTTGCTCCCTCTTCCTCCACAAGGCTAACGGGAAGTGACACGTGTTTTTGAAATGCAGCTGACAGGATATGACACCCCTCTTTACGCGGCGCCGGCAAAGCACGGGGAGTAATTAGCGCTCCGTCGACGGCCGTGACATCAATCAGGCCGGCTGCCTGAACGCCTGGCGAGCGCCAGGGAGACACTCACGGGGGCCCGAGGAGGCTGGCATCCAATCCTCACGGCCATCAGTGCGTGTGGAAGCGCTGGGAAATTGTCTGGCATAACATTATCTAGACAAGTCCTGTGTGTGTGTGTGTGTGTGTGTGTGTGTGTGTGTGTGTGTGTGTGTGTGTGTGTGTGTGTGAGACAGAGAGAAGCAGCGCTACAGGTGGTAAACTCACTGGCATGAAATCATGTAGGCAGGCTGTCTGGCTCAACATT